TGCCACAGAAGTGATATACAGCAGTCAATAGCATTTAATTGAGTTAATTTCTGTTTTCCTCCAAAATTAAATCCCCTTGAGGTGCACACCAGATTTCCCCATGTTCCTGCAAGGTCCTTGAGCAAAAGCAATTACACAAGTGGGTTTGGCTTTACCTGAAGCAGGAATAACCCAGACTGTCTTCCCCAGCAAATTCTTTATGTGCACCACAGGAACGTTATCCCCCTCTACAGTATGTAAAAGTTCTGATTGGGCTGGGCCAGCCCTGTTGGCAGATCCTCTGGTGTTGACCAACCAGGTGGCTTTTGGTAAATGTTCATCCTTATGTTTGAAAGAGCCATGACCCACTGCTCTCAGTGTAGTTTTTAACAGCCCATTGTAGCGTTTGATTTTCCCAGAGGCTGGTGCATGGTAAGGGATGTGATATACCCACTCAGTGCCATGCTCATTGACCCAAGTATCTATGTGGTTGTTCCGGAAACGAGTCCCATTGTCTGACTCAATTGTTTCTGGGGAGCTGTGTTGCCACAGACTTGTTTCTCAAGGCCCAGGATAGTGTTCCGGGCAGTGGCATGGGTCACAGCGCAGCATATGTTTCCAGCCATCCGGTGGTGGTGGCTGAACACCTGCTTGCCCATGGGAAGTGGTGAATGAATTCCTTATTTTTCTTTGTGTGCATAGCTTCTGCTTTTCCTATTAAATTTTCTTTATCTCAACCCATGAGTTTTCTCAGTTTTACTCTTCTTGTTCTCTCCCCCATCCCACTGGGCAAGTGGCTCTGTGGTGCTTACCTGCTGGCTGGGTTTAAACCACAGAGTATGCCAAGTTGCTAAGGAAAGTTAATAAACCCCCAACAAATTTTTAACATCCAAAAATTTTTTTCTCTTCCATCTGCACATACGGCAAAATGCATAAACTTATGTGCTGTCAATATCTAACCTCTCCTGCTAAAATCCAGGTCTCACAAACATTATATAGCAATAAGTTTCAAAATCTACTTGTGTGTGACAGATATAAGAATTTCCTTATCAGTATAGACTTGCATTCAGTGTTTTCATTTTAGTTTATTTTTTACATTTCATGTCTCAACCCAAATCTATATAACAAGTTTTAATGTATCTGAAAAAACCTTTCCTAAAAATCTGAATTTCATAAAATATTTTTTCATGTTATTTTGCAGCTATTAAGCTTTCATTTTATTTTACATTGTACTAATTATTTACCTCTAATTTGGTTTCTGAATTTTCTCTAGTTTTGACTAGCCTTGTTGTTACTTCCTTATCAAATCCATTTCACTAAACAACTCATACTAAGCATTGGAACACTTTTATCCTTCTTGAAAGGAAACCCACATGCCATTTCTTATGTTATTCTCTTGCAACTAGTCTCAGTCCATCTTATTAGTTTAAGTAGGGCCATATGTAAGATTCCATCACTTTTAAAAATATAATTTATCTTCTTTAACATTAAATGCTCCTTTTTCTAGTAGACTGGCAATACACTGTATTCTGTTGTTAAGCCCTACCCTACAATTTACCCCTAAAATCCCCATCATTTCAGCTAAATACACTAGGTTCAGATTAACACATTTATCAGTATCTATCTCCAAATAGCCCTTTGGAACTTACAATATAGGAACAGCACTAGATATTCTGAATCTTTCTTTTAAAGCAAATCTTAATAGATGTTTTCTTCTTGAATGCTTCTACCAGCACTCATAACATACCTTACAGATTAATGTTTGAATATAATATATCCAGATCTGCCTGGAAAAATAGAGAAACTATCCAGGCACCTCTGCTTCCGAGAAGACAAATGTACATAAACCCCTTTCTCACAGTTCTTCCATGTTAAATTTGAGTTCACTTGTATGTAGCTTTGTATCTAAGCAGACAATGGGAGAAAGTGTGGACATCAATATAGTTTTCTACAAAGAGATAGTTACTGCAGCACTAAACACTCAGGAAATAAACAGTACACCTTAAAAGGAAAAAAATAAATTGGTTTGCTAGGCTGTCCTTATACCAGGAAAAGGCAGACCCTTTTTCAATATGCACATAATGGCAAATCAATGCTAACACAAGATTAATATGCAAATAGACCTCCCCCCCAGTCTTGCAGTTACTTTCCTATTTCCACTCAAATTCTCAGGAATGTACTTTGATCTTGCAATTAATGAAGTGAAAGTTTCCTATCTAAGACAAGACAGAACCAAAGACAAATGCATCTGATAATCTGTCATTCTGACTGTTCTCTTCCTAACCTTACACACTTACCAGCTTCCACTGCTATGATGGTACAAATGTTATTGGGGGGGGGGGGGGGGGGGCTCAGGTAAGTAGGATACAAAAATCTACATCCAGCTGAGTCAGCATCCCTGAACTGAAACCCAGTGTGAAGCTAACAGTTACGCAGAACAGACTTCAGGGTATTAGTATGCATAACCACTACTGTCTTCAGTAGATGAGACCTCACAGATTAGACCTCCAGTTTTGAAATCATCAGGAACATGTACAACTGTAGCACTGTCATGTGAGAAAATCAGAACACAACAAATCTTCTCAAATGTAAGAGGTACTTTTGTGCCTTAAAAAACATGCAAAACCCTCTTGTAATGTAATCAACACCAAGTGAAAATCAGCATGCCAAAGAGAGAGGATTTCCAATAAATCACTTCGCTCTCCTGAAGAAGTTAGTAAATAGACAACACATTCCTACACTTCTAACATCATCTCCTTATTTTTTTCCTGTAGTGAGGCTCAGTCATGAAGCAAGAAAGGATACTGCATCACTTGTATCCACTGAGGGACTTAAAAGGCTTTGTTATTTCAAAAACCATGTCATAAGTGGTAAGTCATGTCATTAGTTCCCCCAGTAACCTCGTTCACAAGGAAGGTGGCTAAAGCCAGTCATCAAATGCTTCATAACACAGAATTTTGAGCAAATAAAAAATTATCCAATTCATCTTTTGTGAAAGAAAAGCACTGAAAAGTTACTCCATCTCCCTAGCCAGCTCATAAACAAGTCAACAACACTGCTGTAGTCAGAGATCTTCAAAGCCCCATATCATTCTTATGTAACAATAAGTAGTGTTCAAGAGCTGATTTCTTTTGCCTATCACTAGAAATATATGAAAACTAGAACTAGTACAGCCATCACAAGAGGGAAAAAAAAAGAAAAAGTAGAAGTTTTATATAAAACAAACCTGGAATTAGGTAACACTGATGAGAATTTCCTCATCCAGCTCCAAATTCAGGACTTTCCTTTAATCAAAGCTGTTTCTGGTGTTTCTATGCCAGGTCTCCTCCCACTTTTATAAGCATGTTTCTCCTCTTAGTTACCTGTGCCTTCAAGCAGTATTCAATATAATTCCTCTTCAAACATTGGTTTAGTGAGGTTAAACTTTTCAAAACAAGAGAGATCTACAAGATAGTTTTGTATTACAAAATGAACACCTGCAGCACAGGAGATATGACAGAGTGAATGGTGATCTTATGTTAAGCCACCTATGCTATTAGAATGAGGGGTAGATTTCTTCTGGTTGGCTTTTTTGTTTCTAATTTAAGAAATTTGATTAAAGATTAAAATAACAGAATTACAGTATGAATCCCAGAAGAATGCTCACTTGCTATATAATCAGAGAAACGAACTTTTTCCTTAAAAAGAATCCTGGATTTTTTAACATTGTAAACATATCTTTAAAAGAAAAAATAAAAAAAAATAATCAGACATGGGAGTCTGAGAAGAAAATCAGGAGACTATAGATCCTCTTCTGTAATTCAGCTTTCTTTGGTAACAGCAGCTTATTTTCTTGTGCTGCCTGGATTTTCTACTTCAGTTTTCAGTATTTGATTAAGAAATATCAAAAGTCAATAAAGAAATAAAGACATACTGCATTCTGATTTACTAGGAAAACAGCAATATGTAAAAGAAACATTTTAGTTCTGTGGATATTTTTTAAACTACCATACTCAAACTCATTGTGAAATTTTATAATTGATCAACAACTTAGTAAAAAGAATAGGAAACAAAAAAACTATTTGGGCTGTGCTAAGCATTAAACCTCTCACTAAAAATACTTTAAATACTAATGAGTAAAGAGATATTTTGACAATAAGGAAAGAGCTGACAAAGATCAACTCCATCAATATTGATGGAGTTTAAGCACTCTCTGCAACACCCTTTCTGTCATTTCTCCTCTTACATTAGCCATAGCATAGCCAATATAGCCATTATAGCCATCATATGTTCTTCCTTTCCCACCCTTACCTTCCCCTTTTCTAATCACCCTTAACTGTTTCAGTCTTCTCTGCACCACTTGCATACTCATAGCAATTCTTCCTTCCCCTTAATTCCTTACATTCAGGCTATTACCAACTCTCATGCAATACATGCCTTCAGCTTACAACATCTGAGCATCTTCCTCTATTGCTTAATATCCTGAATCTACTTTAGCTTTCCTTTTCACTGCCACCAGGCAGCCCTGCAAAACACCTTATTACGTTCCACAACGACTAGAGCAATTGCTGTGCCTCTGGCCACATTCCCATAGCCCTCAAAGGCAAAGAGCACTGCTCCTGATATTCACCTTCTTGTAGCACCACCTGCCTGGGCCTGCTAGTGTCACCAGACTCTAAGGAGAGTGGCTAAGCTGCAGATGAGGCTCATTATCAGAAATATTCCCTTCTTTTGTTCCACCTATGTTGTATCTAACAAACACGTCTTTTCTCTTTTCCAAACAGTATTACTTCCTAAACATAGAATCACAGAATCAAGAATCATAGAATCAACTAGGTTGGAAAAGACCTTTAAGACCTCTTAAAGAAAAGATTCAATAACAGAATCCTCTTCAGTAAACACCATAAAAAAAAAAAAATCACATAATAATTCGGATTGGAAGGGACCTCAGGAGGTCACACTCCTGAATGACACAAAAAAAAAAAAGCTCTCAAAACCAAAGAAGGAATGAAAAAGAAAGAAAGAACAAGTATCAAACTTACCATGGACTTGATTGATTTCTGAATTCTGAGAAAGAATTTCATCTGCTAATTTTTGAGCAGTAGGCAAAACTTCTGTGTGATGCGCTGTGATCAAATACTGAACAAACTTTTGCAGTTGGTCTCTGTTCATTTGAAAGAGTGTCTCTGAAATGGGAAGATGCAGTTTGACCTGATCTGGCTTGCGGATCCGATATAAAGAGAGTGCCACAACGTGGGCACAGTAAAATATGTCTTTGTTTCCACAGCTACAGGTCACTGAGGTAATCTTGCAACGATCAAAGCTGATGGCTACACTGCAAACAGTTTCTGGCTCTGACTGCACTGCAGGCTCCATCACTGTGCCACTCAAGTAGAAACCTGTGAAGGGAAAAAAAAAAAAGAGCAAGCTTGCATTGTTAAGTAAAATACCATAACTCATTATCAATAACCTTTCATTAATCAAGTAAAAATCATCATCTATTTCTGAGAAATAATACATCTTAAAGAACTTGCTTTAATTACAAATATAATGAACCCTTTCTTTCCCTTTTCATCTCCAATAAAATCAAAAGCAGCTAGTTTACAAGCCCTCTGCCATTCCATCACAACATTCATAAAAAGTTTGATAGTAAGATGTCCTGGGTTCAGCTGTAACAGGCATTTTTCTCCTTCCTAATAGCTGGTGCAGTGCTGTGTTTTGGCTTTAGTCTGAGAACAGTGCTGATAACACACCAATGTTTTAGTTGTTGCTAAGAAATGCTTACCCCAATCAAGGATATTTCAGTCTCTCATGCTCTGCCAGTAAAGAGAGGCACAAGAAGCTGGGAGGAAACAAAGACAGGACACCAGACCCAAACTAGCCAAAGGGGTATTCCATACCACACCACATTATGCCCAGTATAGAAACTGGGAGGAGTTACCTAGAAGGGACCAATCGCTGCTCAGGTCAGGCTGGGTATCAGTCAGCAGGGGGTGAGCAATTGTATTGGGCATCACTTGTGTTTTTGAGATTTCATTTCTCTTTTTTTGTTGTTCCCTATTATTATTATCAGTATTGTTATTGTTGGTATTATTCCTATTATCATTATATTTTACTTAATTTCTTATCTCAACCCATGGGTTTTACATGCCTTTGATTCTCCTCACCATCCCACCCATGGAGGGGAAAGGGTGGGGGGTGATGATGAGTGAGCAGCTGCATGGTACTGTTACCAGCTGGGTAACAGGATACTTAAGACAGCTCTATTTGTAGTTAATTCCTAGTAAATGAGAGTTGGATGGGTGGTCTCAAAGAAACTGTATGGGAGATTTATTCTTTTTTATATATAGTATCACTTTCATATGAAGCATACATAATACTCTCATCTATGAGCTGAGGAAAAGCCTAACAGCTGTAGTGGGAACAGGTCCTTTCAGTGTTCTTTCTACTCTCAGTAAGTAGCTAAACTCCTATAAAGCATTCAAAAGGTCCTGGACAGATGAGTGTCTCCAGAAATATTTAGAGATAACAGCAGACCTGACTTTAATTCCCTACTTACATTTAGACAGAAACAGCTCCTGGTTCTCTCTCCCCTCCTCTCCACTGAGATTTTTTGAGAATTCACATTGCAAGCAACAACATTTATAAACACAGCTCCTGATCTCTAAACAATGATGTCACTAATACAGTCCAGTTACCTAACCTGCTGTAGTGAGTTGACCCTGACTGGATAACAGGTGCCCACCAGAGCTGCTTTATCACTGCCCCTCCTCAGCTGGACAGGAAAGAGAAAATGTAACAAAAGGCTCTTTGGTTGCAATAAGGACAAGGAAATCACTCACTGCTTAGTGTCATGGGCAAAATAGTCTCAACTCAGGGAAATTATTTATTACCAATCAAATCAGCATAGGGTAATGAGAAATGGAAACAAATCTTCAAAACACCTTTCCCCCACCCCTCCATTTTTCCTGGGCTTAACTTCACTCCAAATTTTCTTTACCTCCTCCACCTCAGGGGCACAGGGAATGGGGATGTGGCCACAGTTCTTCACGTCTCTGCCTCTCCTTACAGGGAGGATACCTCACACACTTCCCCTGCTCCAATGCAGCAGAGGAGAGAGTCACCTCCATTGACATGCTGGCCATGCTCCTTTTGCTGTAGCCCACTATACAGTTGGCTTTTTTGGCTGCGAGCACACACTGACAGCTCATATTCAATTTCTCAGGTAGAAACAAGAGGTTAAGATATATTATTCATCTACAGTTAAATTTTGATAAACAAACTTTCACTCTACCGGTGAACTTCATACGCCCTGTTTTTTTTGCAAAGGGAACAGACTGAGACAGCAGTATGTGCACACAGTCTGCAAGTATCTGCATCCCAGCAATATACTGAGGGAGCCCAAGAACAAGGATCACTGTGAAGACATTTGTTGCTAGCTTCTGAGGCATTTGCACTACTATACTGAGCAAAAGCTGGCATCCCCGCTGCAGGAGGTAGGAAGCAGAGATTCGTCCTATACACCAAGTTATCTATCTCCCAAGGTGGTACCACTTTAGCTTTTACAGCTACTTAGTTTTCACATCACAACATGTGCACCTGCTCTAAATCAGGGTAAGGATTCCAAACCTAGGTATGCTGTTTAACATCTTTGTCAGCAACGTGGATTGAGTGCACCCTCAGTAAGTTTGCTGATGACACCAAGCTGTTTTGCTAAACAAAGCCTAGTAGCTAGATGGTGGTAATATTAAAAAAGTTGAGCGATATGATTTGGGAACTAGCCTACTGGAATATTCTGTGCTTTGCCTAGATACCTTAGATTTAGTACACAGTAGAAGACTTTATATGTGTTATCACTGCGGTGGCTTGAAAAAAACAAATAGACCATTATGTAGAATACAAGTAATGCTTATTAAAATTGAAGTTCATTCTTTCTGATAGACATTCAGATTGCTCTCAGACTGTATTTACTTACACATAAACAGATGTGCACCTGCTCTAAATCAGGGTAAGGATTCCAAACCTAGGTATGCTGTTTAACATCTTTGTCAGCAACGTGGATTGAGTGCACCCTCAGTAAGTTTGCTGATGACACCAAGCTGTGTGGCGCGATTGATGCACTGGAGGGAAGGGATGCCATCCAAAGGGACTTTGACAGGCTCGAGAGGTGGGCCAGCACAAACTTCATGAGGTTCAACAAGGCCAAGTGCAAGATCCTGCACATGGGTCAGGGCAATCCCAAGCACAACTACAGGTTGGGTGGAGGCTGGATTGAGAACAGCCCTGAGGAGAAGGACTTGGGGGTGTTGGTTGATGAAAAGCTCAACATGAGCCCTCAGCGTGCACTTGCAGCCCAGAAAGCCAACTGTATGCTGCGCTGCATCAAAAGGAGCATGGCCAGCAGGTTGAAGGAGGTGACTCTCCCTTCTGCTCCACTCTTGTGAGACCCCATCTGGAGTAGTGCATTCAGCTTTGGGGACCCCAACACATGATGTTTGTGGACCTGCTCCAGTGAGTCCAGAGCAGGGCCACAAAGATGATCAGAGGGCTGGAGCACCTCTCCTCTGAAGACAGGCTGAGAGAGTTAGGCTTGTTCAGCCTGGAGAAGAGAAGGCTGTGTGGAAACCTTATAGCAGCCTTCCAATACCTAAAGAGGGCCTATAGGAAATCTGGAAAGGGACTTTTACACAGACATATAGGTATAGGTCCCCTTCCAACCCTAACCATTCTATGAAATGCAGACTGTAATCTGTTGGAGCTACTGTAATAAAAAAGGCACATACAAAGGTCACCTATATCATAAATCTGAACTTTCTTTATAACAGTGGAATAGTGCCTAAACCCACATAAGTGGACATGAAACAGTTACTTGTGGTTCACAGTTTTTCCCATACCATTGCTAAGCTAGTTCCTAATTTGCTTCTTGCTGTCCCAAGTATTAGCTGATTAAATTAAATCAATATGCACAAGTCCTAGCTAGTGGAACCCATCATCAAAACTGGCTGAGAAGACATGCCATATTCCTCCATATTAGGCATACATCACCTCTTTCCAGACATAGGTTGAAGTACAAATAGGCTTTGTGCACAAAAAACAGATTTCCAAAGGCCCAGAAAACTGAGTGCAAGTCACTTGCATATCTTTTTATCTGAAATATTAGATATTTGTATTTTACAAGTACAAATACCAACATGTTTTCAAGTCCTAATTTCCGGGAGCTACATGCAGAGCAAGCACTTCGAGTAGGTAAAGGCTAGGTATGTGCAGGTGGGGGAGCCAGATGTACGTTCTTCTACTGACTATGCCAATGCTAGCACATTCAGAGCACACAGCTACTCCTCAAACAATGGATTAAGATTAACATTTCTTAAAGAGTTAATTTAGGAGCCCACCCCTTCCTCTAAAGCCACACATTCATTCCCCTTGAACGAGCAAGGCATAAAATCATCAAATATTTAGGGTTGCAAAAAAACGTAGGATAATCTAGTTCTAAGACCCCTGCCACGGGGCAGGGACGCCTCACCGTAGAACATGTTGCCCAAGGCTCTGGCCTTGAACACTGCCAGGGATGGAGCATTTACCATTTCTCTGGTGTCATCGTTTAAGCCCAGTCGGCAACCCAGAAACACCCCGTACCCATTCGCTCACTCCTCCCCCCCCCCCCCCCATCATTCCTTAATGCATGGACCAATCCCTATAAAGCTGCTGAGTCCATCCAGTCCATGATGTCAGGCTCCATCTCTTGTAACAGTCTTTCAGAGCAGGAGAGGCTGTGTGCAGTGTTCACAGTCATGAATAACCTGGGCAACAGTGTCCATTGCCAAGTCCACCCCTCGATCATGAATCCATCTATATGTTGCATCTCTGCCCTGTTGGCCTGAAGTGTCATGGGCCCACCAGGCTCAAAATAATTCACCCTCTCCTTCAGCAGTTACTGCAACTTGTCGTTGGGGATTCCATACAGCTGCCTTCCATCTCCAACGCTTCCAAAGCACTGGAGGGGCTCAGTGGACTAGATACTCGCCCATATTGTCCCACACACCCTGCCACTTGTGACTGTCCAGCCTTGGGGAAAACCTCTTGGTCCTCCTATATCGTCATCTAACCCTAGACAAGACCCAAACCTGACTCTGCTTAACTTTTGAGATCAGACAAAATGGTGGTGGGTAAAACACAGTCTGTATGTGTGCCAACATGGTGATGCCCATTACAATCAGCAGGCAGGTCCCAAGGGTACCCGAAGGCCATTCAAAACCTTCAGAACTCTCAAACAATGCTGCTGTACTTGTCACTGGGTCTGGTGTAGCTGCTGTGCTTGCTGACTCTCCCACCACCAGCTTCTCTTTTTCTGAATCCAGAACTTCCTCCTCTGCATTGCTGGGAAGTGCTGCCTGGTCTCCTGTATCCTCCACTTG